GACACCCGTCCGCCTGGCCATGACCAAAAACCTTGCCCCTCGACAGGCTATGTGGCGAAGAGGGGGAAAACTGTCGACCGCCCGACTGTCGAAAATTTTCTGACACCTGTCAAAAATTTTCGACATTCGACAGTCTGTGTGGCGAGCCTCATAGTACCTGTCTCTTATACACATCTAGATGTGTATAAGAGACAGAGCAGGAGGTTGCCACGATCCCAACATCGACAATGATTCGAACAACAACGGTGATGATGTGATGCTGCTGATGATATGGATGATGATGATGATGATGATGATGATGATGATGGTGATGACGATGATGACTGTGATGAGGAAAACCAGGAGGAGGAGGTTACCATCACGATGCAGACAGGGACAATGATTATAACAACAACGGTGCTGATGATGACGATGATGATAATGCTGACGACGATGCTGACAAGTGGCATGATGATGGCTATGACGAGGAGGAGGAGCAGGAGCATGGGTGTGGGGGGAGGAGGGGGAGGAGGGGGAAGAGCAGGAGGAGGAGCAGGGGGTCTTACCAATCACGATGCAGACAAGGACAATCCTTCCAACAACAACAGTGATGATGATGACGATAATGGTAATGATGATGATGATGATGATGACGATAATGATGATGATGATGATGATGATAAGATAATGATGATGATGACGGCGATGCTGACAAGTGCCACCTTCTCTTGCATTTCATACGGATGGTTGTCTTCTTCTGCTTCTTTTTTTTTGTTTTTTGTTTTTGTTTCATACGGATGGTTGTCATTATAGCTCGCGAGGCTTTTGTTATGAGGAGGAGTTCGGCGGCTCGACTCAACTCGGTCATCCTCTGCCGAATGACGTGGTACTAAGGCGAAGAGGCTACGTTGTGGACCACAGGGCCATCAGACTCGGAGAGGGATCCCAGGTTTATTGGAAAGCGAAAAGAGGGCTGCAAAAATGGGCGTAAATAATCATTCCCCCTTTCCCCCTTCGCCCCCCCCCCCCCCCCCCCCCCCCCCCCCCCCCCCCCCCCCCCCCCCCCT